AAAGGTAACAGCTTTTTTATGTTTCTGATTTTCCAACTATTTCTCTGTAGCACTGAAGAAGCCGTAATTGGCGAAAAGCTTATGCTAAATAAATGAAATGTAATTATTTAAACGTTTAAAATTTTTAATAACTGTAATTGATGCTTTACATATTTTTCACCAAAAAATTCAAAAAAAAATTAAAAGATGTGTAAGGTCTTGCAAATCCTGCGGCTTGCTAGAAAGTTCCCCACTTTGCGTGTTCTTAAGTGCGGTGAATAAAAGACAAGAACTCGGAAAAGGTGTTGCTCGAGTTTTATTTACAAAACGACTGAGATGCACGCGTAGCGCGCAGTAAGATGTTGCCTCAGATAAAATCTCCGGCCTCAGGGTTCGTAAAACATCACATTCCCCCTAGAGTTTCGTATGAGGGTACAGTAAGACAAGAATTACATCGCAAGTCGGCTTCGGAGAAGTTGTTGGTGGACAGGCGAGATCTTTTCGAAATTGCTCTAGTATTTCTGAGTACTCACTGAAGAGCGGCAATTTCTCTTTGGAGTAGATGGCGGCGATGATGTACGAGCAACGACACACTTGAGCGGCGTATCCAAGATTTCCGTTGGGATCGTGGGAAAGTTAACCGGGGTCGTCGACATCGACGGACGCTGATTGGCTGGTCGGTCGAAATTTCCGGCCAATCTGCTCAGATCGGACTTTTGAAGGGCAGAACTTTCTGCTCGTTTCTGGAAAGGCACTGTCGAGAGAAACGTTGCATTCTGTCCAAGGAAGACTTGAGGTTGATCTGTAGCGGGGTCCGAAGGATTCTGCGACGAAGTATTTTTCGCGACGGTTGAAATTGGAGATTCGACGATTGTAGTTTGATGTTCTGTGCTGAGAGAACTATCTATCTTCGTTTTACCAGAGACATTCCCCCTAGACGAAGAAGGCATCGAATCAGCTTTGACACTAGCAGCTTGGATCTGACCAGTATCAAATGTAGGGGCATCGGGAGCACTTTTTCGGTAGCCTCGACTACCAGTGAAGATTGGGCCTGCGGAATCGAGTTCTGCTTACGGTTTCGTACCTCGCCAGGCATGAAGTGCAACTCTGCGTCTTCCAGAAAATCGCCAGGTGACTGCGGAGAAGTTGCAGGTGCGGCCTTGAGCTTTTTTAGATCAGCTGTGATCGTACTTCGGTGCTCCAAAGGCGCGAATGTAGGCATATCGTGGTCAAAACTTTGCTTCACCGACAAAGTCAGGCTTCAATCGGGTACCCGATGAACCTCGTTTCCACCGTCAGGTTTGGCGATCCCAACCCGCGAATTTCGCTTGATTTGGACCTTTTGCGGCGAAAATGACTTGTACCTGCCATCGAAGTTCAGGCGAAGGTAGGTTTTCTCGAATTCGACTGATCGAATTTCCGGAGATTGGAAGATGTCGCGCCCTAGCAGGCTTGGGCAATCCTCCAGCACGTAAACTTTTGCTTCTAGTTCTGTGCCCGCGTCGAAGATCATTTTCATCTCCAGATAGCCAAGTGGGCTTTTGGCAGCACCATACAGTCCGGAAATCGTCAGTGGAGCTGGTTTCAGCTGCAACAGTAACTTTTCAGGGACTACCTTCTTTGGCAGCATTGTGGCGCAGGAGCCGGAGTCGATCTCTACGTCGGTGACGAACGAGCAGTTGTCACGTGTGAATTTGATGCTAGCGGTGTAGGGGTCTGGCACTAGCTTTGGCAAAGATTGGTACACTGGAGCAGCTCGCCAGCACGCAAGGGTAATGGCCGATTCATCCTCGTGTGCATTGTCGGTGGTTGGTTGAGCTGTTGTTTGATTGACTTGCTGGTCATTATTACCGGTCTCAGAATCTTTGCTAATTTGACCACCATTTTTGGTACGGTTAGCTCCTCATTTACCGTTTTTAGTTTTGTTGTCGGGCTTCGACTTGTTATCGCGGCGTTTTCCAAAGTAGTAGCAGTTGGCGTCGGTCGGAGTCATATTTCGGCGTAGTGTCTCAGCAACAGCAGCTAAATCATCTGGTCTGAAACTGTCGGACATTTTGTCGATCAACTTGTTGTAAAGATCTGGCATTTGGAGACGGAGCTTTTCTGACAGGAGATGCGTACCGAAGAGATAGAAGCAGTCTTGGGCGGTCATCTCTTTATCAGGATTTACGCGTTTGAATTCGCGTAGACAAGCTTCATACGCCTGGTTTAGCTTTTGTTGGACCTTTCCGGCATAGTCATGGAGCGGCAAATCACCATCGCAGTTGGTAGTAGCAGCTTAAACGATGATCAAAAGGTGGTTGAGCTTCCCGCCAAACTGTCTGTTGATGAGTTTACGGGCGGCTTCGTAGTCTGATGGCGCGAGGCGGGGCAACATCCAGATGGGCGCGCAAACAGCTGAGAAAGAACTGCTGTTTGTCCATGGCGGGCTTGCCGGTGGCGCGGTCGATGATGTAACTCTTTTGGAAGGAGTCGGCGAGACCGAGGAAGCGATCAGTTTCTTGTGGGCTGGTACCTTGGAACTTTGAAGTGCCGAAGTGGCGGGTGAATGCCGTGTTGATGACAGAAGCGGAGATGACAGAGCTGCCAGCGGTGGACTGAGCAGCAGGAGCGCCAAGAGGTAAGTTTCCAGACATGACGAGAGAAGTGCACCTATCGATGATCGCTTGGTACTTTCCGATCTGGTTTTTGACCTCGTCGTTTTCTCGTAAAGTAGCTTGGAGCTTTTCTAGGGCTTCTTTCTGCGCTCAAGTTGTGCTGGCGAACTCCAGGGCTTCTTTTACAGTTTTGATGTTCTCCTGGTTGAATGACATTTTCAGGGTTTACGACGCAGATATGCTGGCGAGACGGGGCGAGAGGACTGAGCCGACTGAATTCTATTTGCAGAAAAAATGTCTGAGAGACGATTGAAAAAGTAAGAGAAACTCGCGCGGCGCGCTCTCGACGCCATTTTTCTTATTTTTCGCTCGGTGCGAGCCATTTTTCCTCCTCGCGCGCCCGAATTCACGATCCTTGAGTGAAATTTTTGCATTGTTGACTTCACCTAATCGAAAAAAGCTGGGGACCAAAATTTTTTGTTTTCGATCGAGGAACTCAAAAATGTTATCAGAATTTTGAAAAGTCGAAAATTTTTTTCTCGTCGACCCCCTCCTTAAGGGTACCTAGGTCGAGTTTTGGTACCCCTTAAAACCATTTTCTGACCATAGAATCGGATTCTTCAGATTCTGAGGAACAAAAAACTCTATAATGACCCTATAGCTATCTAAACGTTTTCACCGTCAAGAACCACTTTAAAGTTAAAAATCTACAGGAAATGCTAACAGCTCTAATTTGGGTGAGAAATTTATTATCTCCAATTTTGCTGATAAAGGGCTTGAATGAAAGCTTATGGCCTGGTTAACATCGTGGTGAAGCTTAAAATCGCCCGAGAAAATAAAATTCATTTCAAAATCGAGGTAAATGGACGCTTACCGAGCAAAAATGCGAGATTCGCGAAGAAGAGTCCATACTTTTTAAAATTTTGATAAAAACATCTTCGAAATCGAAAATTCTGCTCTGTCACGATTGCAGAGGAGGCTTTAAACTTTATAATTTCAAAAAGAAAAAAATAGTTCGAATGAAAATTTTCGCCTGAATTTTGCGTTGAAATTTGCAATTTTAGGCCGAGACGCCAACTTTGACGACATTTTTTCTGAAAAATCTTTTTGAAATTGAAAAAAGTGCTCTGTCACGATCCGAGATCTAGGATAGATCTATCAAATGAGCTATTTTAAAGCTTCTTTTGTTAGGAATAAAGGTTAGTAATTTACCCTCAAAGACGGCCAACTCGACCCAGGTAGCCTTAAGTTGATTCAAAAAATAAATTCTTCTTTCATTTTTCCTTTCCACTTAATCAAAATTTTCGTTGAATTTCGTGAAGTACCGTAAGTTTCACCTAGAAATTTTTACAAAAATATTCAACGAAAAAAAAACCTGATAGGATAATAAACTTCCTGTATCTGCGCTCGCGCTCGCTCGCTCACGAAAAAATCAAAAGGGTCTGCTCGGGCTCGCTCATTCAAAATAAAATTCTGCGGGATTTTGCTCGTGCTTCCTCGCTCACGAGAGTTTTGACCATTATTTCAAACACTGCTCACTAAAGCTCATTCGTGGTCCTGCCTAGCTAAAATTTTCGAGTTATCTTACCGTCCGATGAAATTGTGCGATCAGCGTCATTTTGGAAGATTAACGGATAAAATATGAACTTATGATGTTTAAATGATTGGTATAGTTCAATATTCAAGGAATTTAGAAAAAAAATTGTCAGAAAATTTTACTGAGAGGGGGTCGAGAAGGACCCCGAAAGAAATGTCGTATCAAGCTTTGTTAACTACTCTTTGAAAAACAGGGCTACATTTTATCCTTTGATTCAATTTATCCTAGTACTTCATTTTGTACAATGCGTCATTTCATCCTTAGACTTCATCTAATCCATTTTTTCCTTGGAAAAAATAGTGCCTTCATTTCATCCATTGATTTCATTTGATCCAAAACTTCATCTTATCCAATAACTTCATTTTATAAAAGTGCTTCATTTCATCCAAGTTCTGAGTTTTTTGAAATATCTGCTTCATTTTATCCAAATGCATCATTTCATCCAAATGCTTCATCTTATCCAAAAAAAATTTGGATGAAATGAAGTATTTGGATAAAAAGAAGCTTTGGATAAAATGAAGCTTTTGGATAAAATGAAGCGAAATCATAAACAGTATTATGCTGCTACATATTACATGATCATCCCCCTTGAAAATTAAGGGTGCTTCATGCTACCGATATCAATTTGTCTGACCAAGAGTTTAAGTCGACAATGACAATTTGTCATAACATTGTCGTACAAAGATATAAGGACTCAAACTGTTTTGAATTTATTCGCGACAGAGAGAATTTTCCCGGAAAAAGCAAATTTGTCACGTTTTTTAACTCCCTCTTTCTTTTTATTCAGAAGCTATTGGCAGGATAATAAATACTGAATTTGATCGCGCTTAATAAATATAATCAGTAAATTCAAAACTTGAGCGTTTATTTTTTCTGGTCGGTTCTTTGAGATGGACGGTCGCTTTGCACTTCATATGATTTCTGTAGAACCAGAAGGTGTTCATCTGCTTATTGAAGGCTTAAGACGAAAGGGTTGACGGAAGATTGTTTGTCGTATAATAAGACTCTTTTCTTACCTCCTTTGTCTTCCTCAGCAACATTACGCCTGTCATTGTAAAGCTTGAGTTGCTCTTCAGAGTGCTCATCTTTTGGACAGTATCGGACATGCTGAAATGTTAAATGAAAAAAGCGGTGAAAAATAACTCACGTGGATTGAAGCTTTTCCGCACCAAGCGACCCTCAATCTTCCCAAACTGTCGACAAAATATTGCATATGCGCTGTTCGATTGAAATTTGGATCTAAAATTCTATTAATCGATAAATCTTTTGACATTTCGGACCCATCCTAACAGTGCCCGCTGTATTTGTTCTAGCCATGAAGAAGTTCAAAACGATATCGACAACATAACAGTTCTCAAAACCAGGAAGCTTCATCAGCGTCGCAAATGGTTTTCGAATGTAGCAAAACCCCTCCGGACTCGTTTTGATTTCGATAAAATCCGAGCTCTGCCAAGCGTTGCGCTCGTGCGTGTCCACTCCTCCGCCGACAATGTCGAAGCCTGATTTGTCGAGAACGTCGACCATGTATTCCATGTCGCTTTCTTCGTAAAAGATGAAGTCGTCATCGCACCAGACGAAGTAGTCAGTTCGCACTTGGGAAATGGCCATTGCTCGGCCGGCGAACCAGCCTTCTTCCGCGGGCATTTTGAATTGTTTCACGCTTTTCGGGGGTTCACGTTGTTATTGGGATAAAAAACCTGTGTGAAAAACTGAGTCAGGGCTCCGAAAGAGCTTCAATACTACTTTTAGGGCTCTGACTCAGATTTTTACTCAGGGTTGAACTCAGGTTTTTACTCAGGTTTTAAATCAGGATTTAATTCAAGTTTAACTCTGGTTTCTACTGAGGATTTGACTCAGGAAAATGGATCCGTTCCTTGGATATTTTTCTCTAGAAATGACTTCAAAAGTATCATCCGGGTTGTCATCAGCAACGATGATCGTGATTCCGGGATACTTTTCAAAAACAGAATCGAGAAAGCGATACAAACAGGAATATCGAAAGAGTGTCTTTGTCAGGATCGTTACTCGGTCATTTATGCTGTCGCCAGTTCGGTAAGTTAGCAGCGGCAGGGCGAGGCGTTTGATTGTCACGGGGAAGGAGATTTTGTAGCTTATTTCTGAGGTGATTTTATTTTTCGTTGAGGATCATGTTGGCTATGTAACATAGCCTATGTTAATGCCAGGAAATCTATCAAAATATAATTCTTCGTCAACAAGTGCCTTCAACAACGGAAAATTTGACAATGTCTTTAATCATTCTCGCATCATAGAACTTAGATTTATACATGATCTTTTCCAAAAGCTGATTTGCTTTTTCCACCGTCATTGATTCAGAATTTTCTACATTGACAATTTCGCCGTCGATCAAAAATTCACCAACAGTGCTTTCGAATTTTATACTGACGAAAGAGTCCAAAGGGAGCTTGATGATGATGTGAGGAGAGAACAACTCGTCTGGAGCGATTTCGTAGCCAGCTGAGACGAATTCGATCGGTCTGAACTTACATCTGACTTAAGGACCCCCCGTGATGTTGTTATGAAGTTTTCAAACATGGATTATGGGTTGACACCATTAGGATTTCATAAATATTTTTAACAAATAATTAAGCTACCTCGGGTACCTGATTTTGTGTCGCTTTTTTGGTCCCGAAATTTTGAAAAAACGACACTAAATTGGAATCGAATGGTTGCCGACATATTTTTTCTCTTTGCAATTATTTTTGTTTTTAATACAGTCTCTAGACAATGTTTTTGTTTACTGGCATTGATTTTGAGCTTTCTTACTAAAAAAAGGCAAAATGAACAAGAAAGACGATTCTAGAAAGAGAATTAGTCTTGAAGAACGCCAACACTACTGCCAATTGATCGAGAACGGAACAGGATATCATGCTATCGCAGAAATGTATTTTCTTATCAATGAAGAAGGGAATTTTCACTCTTTCTTGGCAGAAGACTCATTTGGTTTTACCAGAAGAATTGGAAGCAATCGATTTCGATGAAGAAAATATTCCTACCGATCAGGAGTTGCTCTTAGCTCAAGTCGAAAAAGATGAAGATGAAGATGAGATCAATATGCAGATGAATGCTCTCCAGATCCAAGAAAATCCTCAACAGGATGAGCAAGAAAAGCCAAATAAAGAACCAAAGAAAAACAACTACAAGCAAGCTTCTATAAAATCATTTTTTATGAAAAAATAAGTCTCATTTTATCATGTCAATAAAGTTCAATCCGAAAAAAAACGACACTAAATTAGAATTAGCTGGTGACCATTTTTCGGAAAAAGCGACACTAAATTGGGCGACACTAAATCGGGTACCTGAGGTAGAACATTAGGGGGCAATTTTTCGCACATTACTTAAGGGTGTCGCTACGAAAGCCTGTCAGCGATATCCTAAAATTGGATTTTTAAACAAGGATATCTCTCAGATAACTTTATAAAATATTTTGCAATAATTGAGATCTGACTTAACAATAAAGGATATATTTACTCACGTAAAAGCGCCAGTCACGTGCAGCGGCGATTTGACATAATCAAAAATATGATTTCGAACATAATTTTTGTAATCTTCATTTCTCCTCACAGACGTTTTTTCAAAATCCACCGTGTTTTTCTCGCTGTAAATGAATCCATCATTGCAGTTGCACTGATCCTTCGAATACAAGTCTTTGACGACCATGAATTCTCTCGGAACCGACTTGTCCCACGCCGAAATCGACTTGAACTCATCGTTTTTTAAAACTTCCTCGATTCGTTTAAAACTCTGCGTTGAAAAGTCATATCCAATTTTGGGCTCTTTTTCGATATATTTCTTTTCTTTTACGCTTTCTTCGGCGATTTCGAGGTTTCTCTCGCTTTTGATTCTCCGACTGACATTTTCGAACTCAAGATATTTCGGGAGCGTCAGAAAGATGTTGTTGATGAAGATTCCAATAATAATTCCAATAAAAAGCGCGTGCAAAGTCGGGCGGCTGCTCATCCTAAAATCATCATAATTTCTCGTAACAGGAAAAAATTACGTCTTGCTAAAACTTGAAGTAACTGTTCCTTAATTTTGTAACTTCTTTTTAGTACTGATGATGGTAACCCTGACCATAAGCTTTACTTGAAATAAATTCAAAAACAAAATAGTAAAAAAAAAATTGTCTTTTTTATCTTACGGGTTCTTCTGTAATATCCAATTATGTGAGAAAATTAATTGTTCTGATGCCATAAAGACTTATCAATGCTTTTATTTAAAAAAACGCGATTCATCAACCTAAACATAAGCTTAGGCTTAGATTTTCGAAAGATTTCTCTGTGAAATCGAAATTAAATATTTTGTACCTTTTTCCGGATTCTTTTCCATAGAGTGTCTCAAATTTCATCACTGCAACAAATTCTATCTACTTGAAACTGAATAATCCTGAGTCTATAACAAATGAGATTCTGTCGCTTTCTCTATCTGAATCTAATTGTCAAATTTTTAAAGAAGGCAGATTGTTGTCCACCCGCACAAACTTGCAAAGGCGGAAAGACTTTCTTGCTGCCTCCTGATACAGGATAAAAATTGAATTATTAAATTCATATCCGCTCGGGTGATCCACTGGGACAAGGGGTCCGAATTTATTATTGAACAGAAAGTCAAGTAGCTTGTTTGATCAATCCTGCAGAAACGAATGAATACGAAGCAATAAATTTAACAATGCAAAAGTACCAACCTTCATCTTCGATTTTGTCTTTTATGTTTGTGATCGAGCATATCTATCGCTTTGAAATTCGATCAGATAGATGGCGCACCGCGGCTTTAGATGAAAATGCCACTATTCGCAGTATTGCATATAAAAAAAAGAGTCTTTTCGGAGGGATTTGTGTCTCATTGAAATATTTTCTAATAATTCTAGTTCTTTTAATAAATAAATCGCAAATCAAAATAGAACTTGCTTTATTGAAAAAGAATACGCGCTCCAAGGCTGTTTAAAATGTTTCACATACTCCCGAAAAAGCTTCTTGAATTGATTGCTATTAATACTGCCCATTTTTCTTGAGCAAGTCATTTTTTGTCAGAATTCCAGATCTGTAATTGCATCAACTGAATGCCTTATTTCAACAGAATATTTTTCATTCGATTTTTTTTTTCCACGAGTTTTCCTTTGATTATTTTTATTCAATAAATTTTATTATTAACATACTTATTTCCTTTTTGAGTTTTGCCCTTTTCTCTTAAAGCGATTCCTGCGAATGAGCGACCTTGCAAAATTGGCTTTGATTTAAATCAATGTCGTTGAAGATTAAAGATGATACTTTTATTTTGGAAAACAAAGGGTCAAGAGGTCAAAAAAAGTCATAGTTTAATTCCCAGTTCACGTGGCCATAATTGCGTTGACGGATTGATTTGCTTCGTGAAAAATATTGTTGAAGAGATCGAGAAAGAAGCTCTGTTGCAAAAGCGTTTCATAGCGATATCCTTAAATAATTTATCCACGACAATTAATGAAATGATTAAGAACCTCTTTGATGATGTTTTCTATTCGCTTCTTATTGAAATTGCATGTCTAAAATCATCGCAGCAGCTCTGCACGTCCTGATATTTTGAACAAAAATTGATCCAAACACAAATTCATTGTTAGCAGCTCGATAGAAAAGGCGTCTTTCATGTATCCAGGATTTGTAAGAACAGTTTTGTGATAAGGGTATACATTCTAAGACTGCTCGTCAATTGTAAGGGATCTTTTTGTTGCAATCATTTTGATAAAAACAGGAACTCGGGATTCAAGATGGAAGAGTTTAACCGAAAGTATTTTGAGTTTTTTGGATTTGGGATCTTCAGCTGTGCACAACTCATTTTTTACTCCTTCTCCTCATTTTGAAGTTTCAGCAACTGAGTAAAGCTGGGCGGCCCTTTATTCATCCAAAGTAATGGGTAGAGTAATTCTATTGAAGAAAAAGGCAAAGAGCGTCAAGAAACACGTGTTGCAAGAAAGATCGGTTTTCAACACGTGGCGGAAACCAATAAGTAAACGGAACTAGCTGGTGCTTTGCCCTTGACCATATGGTACCGTGAACTTGACGGGCAAGGTGACCAGCTGGTCTCGGGAACTTAACGGTACTTAAGTGGTTGCCCAAATTTTCGTGCGCGATAATTTCAAAAATGGCATCGGCTTGGGCCTCTGGCCGCAACCGCGTTGACATCGCCATAGTGGTCGAAGTCGTCATACTCATCGTCATGACCGACAAAATTAACTGACCTTTGCTGTCCCATGGCGCCCGAGAGTTGCTCGACAAGGTCGATAATGTAACCCAGATCACAATTCTGGTTTGAGCTGCTCCAGGCAGAAATAATGCCATGAACATTGACCTTGGCATGACCTTTTTCAAATTATCCTTGATGAAACTCATTTTGAATTGAGTAGGAAGGTACTTGTAGCCAGATCCGGGGTTGTCGAGAAGTTCAAGCAATCGATAGAAACAATTCATTACCGACTCTGTGGGACCTCTCTCAAGAGCTGCTAGTTCCTGAGCCACTCGATCTTGATTTCTACCTAGCAAATTTTTTTTTGCGAAAACAACTATTATACTGCGAATGAAGAAGTTGTGGGGTGGTGTCTGGAGTCGACAAAAAAATCCCGA